AGGTTATTATTTGATTAGAAAATTATGTTATCCTAGTAGTGGGAATTTAAATTTGTGATTCTTATTAAAGTTAAATTAGAGTTTGATAAGTTTATCGTAAATTAATGTGATCAGTATTATGATAAGTGTATTTGTCCTTCTTTTATTATGTTGGTTTAAATCATTGTTACGATAATTAAGTATTGAATATTAATTGTAGATCTCATACATAATTATATTCAGCATAATTCCCTTGAATATTTGATTGAACATGTGATCTCATAACTAATCATATAATATAATAAATAATAATGGATATTTTTGTAAAAATATACTCATCAAAATTAGTGACACAATAATTGAAAATCAAAGATGAAAACAACACTTGGGTTTATAGCCATACAAATAGGCATCAAATGCTCGAAATCATGTTACTGTATGAATTGTAATTACATAAACAAATCTTATTTGAACACAAAACCCATAAATTAACAAATGAAAATATACTGCATCTAATCAATTAACAAGGAATCTGATGAATGAACCATCTCAATATTTTCACAGGAAGCTTCACCAGATCCACCGCGAAGTTTGCAAGTGCAGAACAACAAATGCAGCATGGGCACAAGCAACTCAATACAGTTCTGCCATTGACAAATCAAATATAAAACCAATAAGATCAAAAGAAACAAGAAAGACATGATTGAAGGAAGAAATTTAATTAAAAACTTACCCAATGATCCACACCACAGCGCCAACAAGAGATAAAATCAATGCAACCAAAGCAAAAGGAAGCCCCAGCAAGAAACCCAATGGCCGGCAATCTCCCATTTTCCTGTATATTGGATTCTCTCTTTCTGTGATTTTGAATTGTAAGAGAGAAATTGTATTTGTTTTATAAGTTTACGCGAAATCAAACCACCTACTTCGACTTCACGTAACGCGGTGTATAATCAAATATAAGTAACTACCACGTTCCATTACTTCATCACATTGACCAAAGTGTCCTTGTGAAACTACCAAATGGGAAGTTATGATTGGGTTTTACACTTTTTTTTTTTTTTTATTGCATGAAGTCAATGGGTATTTTAGGGATTAGGGTATTGTTGAGAATCTTCGTTCTTGCTTCAATGGTTTCCACCAGCCGGGTCCATGTCAAAATGCGACCGCCACTAGCGTGTGAAGACGACTTCTTCAGTTCTTGTACATGTTTTTTTGTTATTGTTTCAATGTTCAAACTTCAAAGAATAACCAACAAGGTGGGTATTGGGCGGTGTAAATTGATCTGGTTCTACAAATGGCCGAAGCTGAAGAGATTAGTGTAGAACCCAATAAGATATGATCCAGTGGGCTCTTCAAGCAATCTGAGAACTGCCTTGGCTTTGACAGCAATTCACACTCCAAATCCAAATGCATATTCTTTGGGTCTCCTATCATTGGAAACTATTTCGACTGACACTAGTCCCGTTGTTCATAGATCTACGTCGTTCTCATTAGTGCACGGTTTCTCTTTCATATATCAAGAACACCAAGAGCAAATTACCTTTCACTAAATATTTACTTCATAGAAAGACTAAGGTATCTAAAATATCAAACAACTTATTTCATTGATGTCTGTTGATATAGAAATCTGCACTAACCAGTGAGATCCAATCGACCTTGCCGGGATCAGAACTGATGTGTGCATGATTAAAGTAAAGACAATGAGAGTTTTAAAGTGGTTCGGCGAGATTAACTCAGAAGTCTATGTCCACTGTTTTTGTATTTGCTGTGAGAGCTTACAATATAGTTCCTATGTGAAATTCGTAACTCCCTCCTCCTCATTTGAGGGGGTTTATATACAAGATTTGTACAAAGAAAAAAGTAAAATTAAGGGGATTACAATTGATCTGAATTGCAATTCCGATATTCTCGCGGTTGGGCGCTGTGATTGCGTAGTGATCACAATTGATCTAGTCATTCCCGTAATATCTGGGATTTGAAATAATCTGAAGGTTGATTGAATGATTCCCTGAACTGTCCGCAACTAGCTTATGTTGGGTCGAGCTTCGGTTCGACGAGCTTATATTGGGTCGATTAATCATTGTTGTCGAGCTCATTTTGGGTCGAGCTATGTCCTCACGTTGGCCCGAGCTTGGCGGAAAAGCCACACACAACATCTGTCCCTTAGTGTTCGATGCTCGCTTCGGGCTTCGAAGACTATTGCTTGATTTGATGTCAAGTTCGACTTCAATAGTGAATCTCTGAGTGCATGTTGGAACGGGCTTCTATGGTTGACCTTGCGCTTGGTCAATGTACCTCACATTTGGATCTCCCATGGTACTTATCAAAATTCAGAATATGAAAAACCAGGTTATAAAGGTAATTTCCATGTGGTCGTGTCGCATTAAATGCGGTAGCCTTTGTCAGTTACGTTTCGTCCCGCGTGAGCGACAACAACTGTTCACACGTGAAGTCGAGGTGACGTGCGGCGACGGTTATCATTACTGCAATCTGACAGTTTGTTGCTCCCCATGGATGGTTGACACGTAGCTGTTAGAGTAGGTGTCCCAAAGCCAATCAATTATTGTAAAATTGACTCTGTAATAAATGTTTATTTATCAATAAAAGGCATATTCTTCTATATCGTGTATGTAATGATATATGTCCTTAGGATGGTAGAACCGTGACGAGGGTATCAAGTGTTTCAAATCTTGATAGTGAGAACCCTATGATCACATATGTTGGCCATTCTAGAAACGTTCATAGCCCCAGTATTATTCTAACGAAGGACACAGATAATACGGTAAGACTATCATAGTGTTGAACGACCCTGTTGAAAGGCAGTGACTGATCTCACTTATCAAGGTTGTTTGCCGACAACCTGGTGCAACACATGGGTGCTTACTAGAGGCAAGTTCACTGGACAGACCCACCAGAGGATTTTATATGGATGGTAACCCCAATGTCTATGGAATAAATTCTCTAACAGATGGTGGTGCATGTGATCCTTAGATTTGAGATCACCGGAGCGCCTTGTGCACCAATTGGTGTAGTTTGACATTAGCCCAATGTAATTTTATTCAGAGCTATCAATACGGTAGTGATTGGCTACATTGAGAAGTGGATCGAGAATATGATGGATCGACAAAGGATTTATCACTCCTGGGTATGGGAGAGGTTATCTCACTGGATAATTCAGTAAATGACAATGACACTAAATCTATGGCCACAGTGGGATTGAGTTGATGCTCAATCCAATTTAATATTCCTGTCATTGGTCCAGTAACTGAATACAAACATATCGAGGATATCTGAGGTTGACACTATTTCTATACCTCAGTCTCGATGAGATAATAGTTGATGAAAAGATTTGATTGCACGGTAACCATACCATTGATAGGCTGCGGTTTCGCTGAATCCGAATCTATTGGGTGGCCATGATGCCTTGCTAGGAGCCAATGTTGGTCTGTGTGTAGTGAGATGGTTAATTGGTGTTAATCGTGATACTACTCACTGTCGATATGATAAAGAGCCTACGAGTCATATACTTAGAAGATAATTTAAGAATCAATTTGTGGGAAGGGTATTTTCGTCTTTTAGGACGAAAGGGTATTTTGGTAATCTCACAGTGCAATTAAATTTGCTGAGGTTGTTGCTTGTATTTAATTTTAATATTAAAATTAAATTAGTGAGATTATATTTAAATATATCTATGTGTATATTTAAATGAAATTATTATTTTTAATTGAATGTTAATATATTATTATATATTAATTGATTTTAATTATAATAATAATTAATTAATTAAAATACCATAAATGGTGTGTTTGGTTGCAAGGGTGAACTAGGGTTGGAGCCCATGACTATTCTTAAGTGGAATAGGGTTTTAATTGTTGCACTATATAAGTGCAATTTAAAATTAAAACAATAAAAGAATTATTTCATTCAATTAAAACCCTAGCCACCCTATCTCTGTCTCTCTTAAGAAGAAAACTTTTTTTTGTTCTTCTTTCTTGATTCTAGAAGCCTTTGATTGTTCTAGCAAAATAATCAAGAGTTCTGCAGATTATCTTCATGTGGACTTCCGTGAGTGCGATCCTACTTTGGATCGATTAGCAAAAAATACATGAACAGTAGATGGTGAATAGTAACCATGAACAATAATCATGAATAGTGTTCCTGTCCGAAATCAGAGATATTCAAAGGAGCCTCCAAACGTACGTAAGTATTCTAATCCTTGAATGGATTTACTTTATACAGATTTTTGTTTATAAATATGTAAAAGGTATAATCTATACTTGGATCTAGACAAAGAAAGGTAATTGATTTACTTACTGAATTTTTTGTTTTCCACTGCGTATGATAGATCAATTACTTATAGGGCGAGGCTTAAGCATGAAGAAGCCCGCGACTACCACTAAGGCAGTTGGCAGGAAAAGCATTACAAGGGCCCAAAAGGGGCCAGCGAAGAAGGCATCTAAACCAATTGGGGGTTCAAAAAAAAATAAAGCACCTGAGCAGCAAATTGGCTCGGGCAAAGAGGTTGCCACGCAAGTTGGCGATCTTCGAAAGGAAGTGGCCAAAAGTTTGGCCAAGAAGAAAATCGCTCCTACTGGCGAGGCAGGTGCTTTTGGGGCGAGCAAACCTGGCTCGTCCCAGCCAAAGAATAAGGAAACAGATAAAGCGGTCCAAGCCACGATGGATGGGCTGATCGACCAACTTCTCAACCATATTGGTGTTGGGGCTGCAGTGGCTAGGGATTGTGTCACCCCGCGAACATTTGCGACCGTCAGGGACTCCTCTCCCCCAGATGTTGGTTTTAACCTGCAGCTATGCGGCGAAGGCACCGATGGTTCGTGCCCCGTCCCCCCTTTTTTTGCAGGTTATTCTCCTTTCTTGCTGATTCCTTGTCTGCTCTTTTCAGGTTGCAATGGCAAGCAGACTTCTGTACGAGGAATGCAATGACACTTTAGAGGCAAACCACCAGAAATAGAAGGCTGCAGAGATGGTGAAGGAAGATGCTATGGCTAGGGTCGAGCTTACAGAGAAGGAGAAAGAAGCCACGCTTACTGAGCTCGAGTGGCTTAAGGGGGAAGTCGTGACCTTCCAAGTCAAGGAAAGGGAATTCCTTAACAAACTCAAAGCGAGTGAGACTGCCCGGGCCAAGGTGGAGGCTAATGTAGCAGAGGTCGCGGAGACTTTGGTGCAGCAGCGGGGTGCCAACAACAAATTGAACTCTGAGTTATCCGCGACTCAGAAAGCTGCTGCAAGATGGCAGGCAAAATCCAAAAAGTCTTTGCTCGACCTAGGGCGGGAGGTGGAAGGTCGCCAAGAGGCTGAAGCTGAGGCTAGGTAGCTCAGGCTTCAGGTTGACGAATTGAATGAGGCCATCACGGCTCGGGCCTGAAAAACATCCGTCTTCCTTGTCTGAAAATTGTTGGAAGCCCATCCTTCAATTGATTTCTCTTTCCTTCCTTAAGCTTACCAGAAGGAAGTTGAAAGGGTGAGAGTCGAAGCCCGAGGGGAGACCTATGTTTACTCGGACGAGTTCGAGGAAGAAGGCGAGGTCCAAGTAGAGGCCAAAGAAGGCGAGAACGAGGCCGAGCCCCAGCTCCGTGTCGAGGATCCAACTCCCCCGAACATGATGCCATCAGTTGAGGTTCCCGATCTCAGAATGGAAGTCACCGCTTCTCCTGTTGGCAAGCCATCTCTTCCTTAGGGTGTCGACCTTCCTGGACAGGTCGAGGATGAAGCTCAGGCTCCTCCATCAGCCTGAAGAATTCCTTATTTTCTTTTTTATAATTGCCCGTTTGTAATTGAGCTTCAACTAATGAAAGAAATTTTTTTCATCATTTCTTTTTTGAGCAATGGTTGTTATATTTCTATGGAGTCATTTAATTCGTCCTACTCAAACTTTGGGATTCGAATTTGCTCCAAGTTGCGC